GAGTCCTTTGCAAATAGTCGTGATGATAACGTTTCCTTCTTGGGACGGCTCTGTGGGTGGGAAGATAAGCTGACGGCGTGCATGACCTGGAGGGGTATAGTGGGGATAGGCCCATGCAGCGTCCTCTGACTCGACGGCCTTGGGGGAGGCCAAGAGGACGTTTGAGGACTGGGTGCATCGACAAACGCCGCGTTTGAATAGTCGTTAATGAAAGCCCACACAGGTTGTGTAGCTTGACATACTGTACATAGATAGGGCAATAGACGCTCCAAAACGATGGAGAGGCTCCAGTCGGGAGACGCGCTACGATAGGAGCACGCCTGTCCGTTCGAAATGACACGTGGGAATTTTAACGAAAGTCCAGTAATGAATAGGAAGGATGGCGTTGAGCACCTGGAAAATACCCAAAGTTATGAATTTGAAGCGTTTGTGCCCCCTCGGTATTCAGTGATGTTGACGTTTCTGTCTTCTCCTTGTCGTGTTGTCAGGAAAGAAATGCGTCGATCACAGATGTACCGCTCTACACCCACGGAGAGGTTTCCGAGCATTTTCGAGGAAATATAGTGCCATAAGGTGGTCCCTCTTCTCTCGGCTTTTTTCTTTAATCGCACTCGGCCTCACCTCCAGCTTATCCCCCAGGCGCGCCATGCTTTCCAGATGAATGTATGTAAAAGATTTAGTGTAAAGCACATGCTACGCCTAGAAAAAATACTTTCATTCCGTGTTCATTGTTTCAGAGAAACACCACCTTTCCTGTTCAATGCAAAAACTGCGCCCATGATCTCAAGTGGCACGACAACGCACTCCACAACACCCGCATTCTCCTGCCCTCTCACTCCGTCTCCTCCATGTCTAAAGCAGTCCCTTCTATTGCCTCGTCACCATTTCTCGGACCCCCATACCAAGTTCGAGACGTTGTCCGCCATCAATGACAGGTGCTCTTTGCGGAAAGCGTCGTAGTCACTCTGCGAAATGGGCGCGTTCGTGGGCGGACGAGGCTCCATCGTAGGAGATATAAAAGAGCGGAGGCCTTCGTAGGCTAGTAGGGTGACGCCAAATTGAGGACTGCTTCTCATGACCCGCATAATGGCCCCCTTGAAAAAGGCCGTGATACCCTCAGCGGCGTAGATTTTTGCGACGCAATCCGCCATCCCCTCGTAAGCCACTTCCCCAGGGCGGGGCTTGACTTGCAACCTGGTTTTGATCACGTCTGCGGGGGTGGTCAGGGAAGCTGCAGGCACGCCGGCCATCGCACCGGCGATCAGCAAATGGTAGGGTTGAATCTTGTCGGCGTCCTCCGCGACGTATCGCTTGGCTGCCGCGTAGGCAGGGAAATAGATCCCGGAGAAGGGAATGTCACGCAAGAAACACGCGGAGGCGCCACGGTACAGCCCCACGAAACCCAGCTCCTTCACAATTTGCCAGGCGGAACTTGCCGTCGGCGCCTTCATTCCTTGCGCCACCAGCACTTGCGCCGTTTCGCCTTGCACTTGCAGCCGGATCTTGACGATCTCCAGAGGGTTTGTGAACACAACCTGGGAGGCACCTGCCCCGCACCCTGCCAGCACCTCGAGTGGAAAGTAGATGGAATCTTGGCCTGTCACCTTGTCTCGATTCGTAAACATGTCGCGGAGCAAGTCGTTCACTGCCAGTTTGATCGCCTTCTCCGGGGCCACTCCCACCAGCTGGGGCAACAGCCCTCCATAGAAGCCCAATATCCCTTCTCGTGCCAGCACTTGCCGAAAACAGTCGATATTTCCTTTGTATTGCACCGCACCCGGCATGATTTTCCCCGAGCGTTGATTTTGCATGCGCGTCTTGACTAGATCGAGGGGATAGACCGCAAAGGCTCCGATACCCCCCGCAATCGCACCAAGAGAGAAGCCTTGCAAAAACTGAAATACACGCTCCATGACCGTCTTGGGAACCACCTCTGCGTCATCAATGTGCGCGTTATGGCGCGAGGAGTATTTCTCCACTGTGTAGCCGGGCGGCGGGGCAAAGGTGACGGCTCCCCCGCGACCGACGATGGCTCGCAGTTCCTGTTGTAAGCAAGATGGACCATGTAAGACTTTTTTCCCGCTATCATCTTAAATTCTTTCCGTACAAGAATTCAAAATATATCCTGCGTGTGAGCAGTGTGCCTTGTCATCACACCTGACCCCTCCCAATCGGCGACCGACTCCCACCTTGATGTAAGACGCCCCGAGCACCGTCTTGCAGTTGTCGGGGGAGATGTATCCGTCCCCATTGAGGTCAAAAAGCTCAAAAACAACGTCTGATTCTGCGCGAGAAAAACGCCGGTTTAGCACCCTGCACGCGACTTTGAAATCGTCCTTGCTCAGAGGCCCCGACTTGATATCCGCGGCAGTGGCAATCGTGGTGCAGAGGGAAGGGAGGTTGTTCAGTATCGTTTGATAGGCCAAGAAATCGAAAAAGGAAACCGAACGTCCGCGCCGGGTCGCATTTATTCGGGCGACAAGGGACTCCGGAAGTTGCCGCCGGCCAAAATTGGAGAGAAGCTGGTAAAAGTCTTCCAAGGAGACCCAGCCATTGCCATCAGGGTCCATCTGCAGGAAAGCCTGCTGTGTCATCTCGTTCTGTAGCTTATTAAAAAACAAAGAAAAGTCGTCCACGCGCACGCGTTTCTTGCCCGTTGGGCCAAAGAACCTCTTCATCAAATCGCAGTCCTTGTCAAAAGCGGTTCCCACGTGGGTGGAAAGGAAATGAAGCACGTCCTCCTTGGTCAGAAAGCCCTGCTTGTTCCGGTCGAAAAGGAGAAAGGCGATGTCGTACTCGGGGTCGGGCCGAGTCATGAACATGTTGAAGAGGGAGAAATCTTTAAACCGCACGAATTCCTGGTCACCGCGCACGATTCTGTAGAGGGAGCGAAGTTGGCTGTACTTGATCACATCGATGCCAGACGTGTCGTTGCAAGAGCGTACAAAGTCGTCCATGGTCATCACGGCGTCCCCGTTGGGGTCAGATGGGTCTTTCAAGCTCGCGTATTTGTCGAACAATGCCTTAATCCTTGCGCTGTGAAGAATTTTCTCCACAAACACCTCGTCGTCCACGACCCAAGTCCGCACTTTTTGTTTGGCTTTGACGGTCGCCGAACGTCGGCGATGGAATATCATAGAGCCGTCTCCGAAAATTTCCCCCCGACCCTTGCTCAAAAAAGGATCAAAGGAGCCGTCCTCCAACGCGTCCATGATCTCTACCTCGCCCTCGTCAATAATAAAGCAGTCATATCCCTTCTCGCCTTGCACGAAAACCACCTCTCCAGGATCGAACTCCACAAGCCGGGCTTCCTTGACAAACTTGCCAATCTGCTCTTCGTCCAAGCACGTGAAGAGGGAGTTTTGATGGAGGGCGAGCTCGATGAGTTTCCGTTGACTCTCCGACTTGTCTGGCACCCGCACCCCTGTGTAAGGGAGGAGAAACCAGAGTACGATTGGCAGAAATGTTCAATTAGAAATGAAATCGTCATTGCAAGGCGTAGGAATTGTATCATCGTGCTTCAAGTGCATAAGAGGGAAGATAAACTGCCAGATACAGTGAGGGGACACCGGATGTCAGACCCGTGCACTTCTTTCCATTTTTGTCACAGACAGACGAGCCACTCCCTAATACAACACAGCTTTAGCAACCTTGCTGTCAATATTCTAAGTCGGTCATTAGGGGGGCAAAAAGAACGCAAACAACAAAAGATCCTTTCAGACCAGTCTCAAGAAGGCATTCCATCAATGCTCTCTGGCATGTTTTTTCGAGACAGGAAAGGCGCCCCACGCATCGTTACGTGGCGTGCAAGGAAGCATTACAGCGCACTTACCATGCTGAAAGGTCTTGTGATTCACTTTTTCGTGGGGCTCCAAGTGCAGGTGGTCAAACAAAGTGGGCGTGCGCTCGAGCTGCGGCGCAGACACGGGCGACAATCCAACAATCAGAGGAGACGGTTTGGTTTTGTTGCTTAAGATACGTGATTGCGAAGCATTGGACATGATGGTGGCTTGACAGCACTGTCTTTTCTCCTGGTAGCCCCTAGCCTTGTGGCAGCTAAGCTGCCAGAATGCTTCGCCTTTCCCTCACCACGCGAGCTCTGCAGCAGTAGCGTTTCAGACGCCCTTTCCAGACGCAACTGTAGAATAAGAATGTGAAGACATAATTAGCATTTTTCGGGCTATTCGCGCATAGAGAACAACGTACTGCAGTGCCCTGCTACAGAGATTCCAAACTCTCCCTCTCGACCGTCGCCGGGTCTGAGCATGGACGGATGGCGGGGGCCACTGACAGCAACAGACGACTCAGACAAACCCTGACAAGTGACTAAAGGGACGTGCATAGATGCACAAAGCCTCCATTTCGAATTCACAACTCGGTTATTGTCCACCTATCCTGTTAAAGTTGCGGCACAACCATGGCCGGGTTGATGTTGCCGACACCGCGTGCTCGACCCGCCCTGTTTTCTTCCTTTCCTGTTTTTGCCTTTTTGCTAATATTTTCTTCCTTGTCCCCCGATTTGTGTCGTATTATTATTTCAGTCGATATATTGCAAGAAATCTAGGAAGGAATTACAAATTTACCCCCGCCCTGAATCTTGGTCGAAGGGTTGGTCGCACTGCGTATCTTGGCTTGCTTGTTCTTAACATTTCAGGTCACCATCATTTTTGGCAAACTCGCTCGACCGCTCGCCTTCGGTCATCAAGACCGTGATGTCCACGGCCACACCACAAGAATGGATGTATGAGAAAGAGGTGTCACAAAGTTGACCCCTCGACATCGCATTGTGGAGTGTGATATTACGCGGTAGGCTGGCCGACTTCCATACGAGGGGGCGGCGCGGAGTAGATGGACTGAGGGCGCGTGACATGTCCGCTTATCTTATTTACGGACAATTAAGTAGTCAATTGCACATGCCACGTGTCAAATGCTGTCCTCAGATTTTGTCAAGAACTATGGCTGTCTGTCTTCATACTCATGGCATGGACTCGGGCGTTTTTAGTCCCTTTCTCTCCAGGTCGACGGTGATGGACCCGTAGGAGGGCATGGCAAGGCTCATAATGCGTAGTGCTGGGGGCAATTACGCTTCCCTTGCCACCAATACCTCCGGTGTTGCCCACAGCAGGAGCCACATGAGTCGTTTTCAGGCGACGGCCCTCGTTGTGGTCGGTCTGGCCTTGTTAGGTTATTTCTTTCTAGCGGATCAGATCTACCTGTGGGTGGTCACGAACGAGATTGGGGTCATGCTGCATCCGGCTTCCCGCGGCTACTGCGCCTACCCAGCCCTTTGGATGCCTTTCGAGGAAGCACTTGCTCTCACGCCTTCATCCTCCCGTGCGCCTGGTTTTCCCCCCTCCACCTTTCTCTCCCCGGATCATACATCGAACATCGCATCCCATGATGGACCTTCTCAGGGCGCCTCGCGCGTCACCCTTGTCGCCGTCATGGGACGTCGGCCCAGGTCCGAGGCGGGAGAAAGCGCCACCCCGGCCTTCAAGCGTCTGAGTGACCGGCTCATGGCCCTCTCTCTGGAACAACAACAGGCCTACGCCCGCTTTTGGGGCTACGACCACCTTTTGTGGGAGGGGGAGGAGGGAGACCATGCCGCCCGATTGGAAGGGCGTCCGGTGGCCTGGGGCAAGCTGTTGGCTCTCCGGGAGGCGCTGGCGACGCACGAGTACGCACTCTACATGGACCTGGACGTGGCCCTAGTCCAGCCTCTGCTCAGCCTGGAGGGGTTCATCGCCCGCCTGGAAAGCCAAGGAAAGGACGTGCTGGTGGCGGAGGATCGGCACGGGGTGAACACGGGGGTGATGCTGATCCGGCGGAGCGAGTGGAGCCTCTGGTTCTTGGAGGAGCTCTGGAGGGTGGGCGCGTCCCTGGTCGACTGCGACTGCCTCTTCTACTACGAGCAGCGGGCCGTTCACCACGCCTTGCAGACCCCACAGTGGCGGGAGGGCTACAAATGGTGGACGCGCCACATCCCCGTGGTTGGCTGGTTCCGAAACTCCCTCCGCGGCCACCCCCCTGGCCCCACCCTGGAAGAGTTGCCCCTGCGCTGGCCGAACCAGTCGGTGGTGGCCTCGGACACGGAGCTCTGGAGGCACGTGGAGGTAGCCCCACAATGCGCATGGAACGCGGTGGACGCCTACGCGGAGGCGGAGTTTGTCGTACATTTTGCCGGGCAGAAAGGGACGAGGAAGGAGAAGTTGATGGAGCACTACGGGCGAGTGGCGGAGGCCCGCATGGAAAAGGTTGCCAAACCCTTGAGAGCGCGGTGGGAACGCCAGGGGGGGAAGAGAGAGGGGGTAAAGGCGGGGGGGGAGGCTGCAGGAGAGGATCGGCTTCGGCTGTTGCCCTTGGTGCACCAGACCTGGAAAACGCACGCGCTGGGTGGCGCGAAACAAGCGTGGCACATGTCCTGGCGCCGGAACGGATTTGAGGTGAGGCTTCGAAACGACACGGAGTGTTTGGAAGATATTTGGAGGTTATGTCGGGCCACAGGGGATTCGGAGTTCATGCATGCTTTTGAATATTTAAATCCTGTGCAACGGGCGGACTTCTGGAGGTACGCGGTCACGTGGCTGGACGGAGGCATTTACAGCGACATCGACATTGGGGCCACGCCCGAGACGGCACTCTTCTTTCTGGAACATGGGCCTGTTCAAGGAAAGGAAGGTGCACAAGCGGAAGGGGGGGGCAGGCAGGGCATGGCTCTGGCGGGGATCGTGGAGAACTCCCCCTACGACAATGTCTGGGGCCGCATGCACTGGAAGGTGGGCATGAGCCCCATGTACTCGCGCTTACCGCAGCTGCGACAATCCTTCTTCTATGCGCAATCGGGCCATCCCGACTTGCTGCTGCTCATGCAAGGAATCAAAAAGATGGTGTTACGCTGGGAAGGGAGCGGGCACATGGACCTGGGAAGAGCGTATCCTAAATTTACTTCTGCGCAATTGAAGGACATGGAAATGACTGGTGCACTGACGTTGGAAATGACGGGACCGGGTGTGTGGACGGACTACATGCTGGCTCCTCTGCTACGGATGAAAAAGGAAAGCGGAGGAGCCCGCATGGGGAGGAAAGGAGGACAGGGAAAGGAATTGAACGTAGAGGACGAGAGGAAAGCAGCCGAGTTGAACAAGCTGCGAGCATCCTCGGTTATCTTGGATACCATGGCTGGCTATGAAATAATTCGATACGGGAGCATGGGATCGTGGAAGACGGACGCGCACAAAGCGGATGTACGCATGTGGCGCAACCTGTTGCTCTTCTATTTGACACCGGTACTTTTGGCGCTCCTCATGCATTCAATTCGACGGCGATGGCGGGATGAAGAGAAGAGGCGCAAGGCTCGGCACGACGAAATGAATGGACATGAAGTAGTGATGGGAGGGGGGGGGGGATGATTGCAGCGAGCGGGGGAGGTCCCCGAAAAGGAGGTCTTTTAGGAATGGGAGATAGGGATAAAGTTCATTAGTGTAAAGCGCGTAAAACGGATGCAGGACAACCGCGTGTAAACCTTTAAGCATGATTGTACAGGAAATGCAAGCAAATTGACAACCAAATATTTGTAGCAGGGGAGAGTAATACATGGGCCGGTGGGCCTGGCGATGTCTGGTTTTCCTTGACATCCGGTTCTGCAGCCTTTATGCTAAGCAACGGATGTCTTCAAAAACGCCGTCGTCGTAATTGTACCATTTGCTTGCCAAGGTGTATCATCGTCGCTGTCGAGGAGCATTCTCGCGATATGATAGGGCGCACAAGGGAAGTCTTGTCTCCCCATGCATGTCGCTCGCCCATGCTTAGTAAGGCCGACCCCACTCTGAATACCACGACATTCACTCCTTCATACATTGCCTTTCAAATGCCAAACTTCTCCATGCCGTCTCTCACTTTCCCACTTGCATTGTCATTACAGGTCTGCGGCTTGTCCGCGGGTGGGAAGCGCTTCGACTCGCCCCGTGTGGTCTTTCCCGAGCCCTCCGAGACAGGTCTAAGGAGTGCCCTTCCTTCCAGTTCAATTGCAAACAACCGTCCAGACCAGCCGTCATTCAGTATCTCCATCGTCACGAGGGCGATGTCTGCAATGATGACAACGTCACTTGCCGAGGGAGCAGGGATGCTGATGCGAGTGCTACAGGATGTGGCGGCACCCTTAACCGACGACCCTGCAGAAGCGGAGAGGAGGCAATGCCACATGATGGGAGGGAAATTTGGAGACCTCGTGCAACTTTCATTGGCCGTAGTGGGGATAGGCGGCCTAATCATCAAGCGGTTCCAAGAAGCTCACCCTCGGCCATGGCGCATCTGGGGATTGGACGTCGGAAAACAGTGCTTGGGGTCCCTGTACGCCCACCTATTGAACATGCTGCTGGCCATCGGCTTGACGAGTATCGTGGGGGGCGGTGACGAATGTGCCTGGTATTTTACCAACTACGTGATCGACAGCTCTCTGGGAGTCTTGCTCTGCCTCCTACTCGTGAAACTGGCCGAATGCTGGGCGGCGCGGAAGGAAGCTGGGTCTTGGCAACGGCTTTACATTGCCGAAACGGGTAACTACGGCAATCCCCCGCAGTGCCGCGTCTGGTACTGGCAGACACTCATCTGGTTGGGCATCGTCACGGTGTCCAAAATAGGACTCTTCTTCTTCATGATCGCCTTTCGGGATCAGTTCGGGGCGTGGGGGCGCTCTCTCTTTCAGCCCCTCCAAAAGCACCCGGACGCGGAGCTGGTGATAGTCATGGTCATCGTCCCCGGCATCTTCAACATCGCTCAATTCTGGATATTGGATAACCTGCTTAAAAGCGACACGAGCGGCGCACCTTCTCCACCGCTCTCTCCTTCGAAGACCCAGCATTTTAAGGTCAACTACGAGCCCATCTTCGAAGGCCAGGGCCCTGATAACGGCCGCGGTCGACGGCGAAAAGGCTCTGGAGGAGCGGCGGACTGGTCCCCGCCGCATGCGCCGCACTCGTCCAGAGGCCCGTCGCAGAAACACGAAGCGGGGCATTCGTGGCTCCGGCCCATGGCGTGGTCGTGGGGGGGCAGTGCGCCCGGTGGGCCCGGGCAAGGTTTGCGGAAAGGAGACGTCACCGGGTCTGTCGGCGCTGAGGACTTGGGCGCCTGCTCAAATACCTTTTACAAGCCACCGGTGCCTGCCACTAGACCTGTGGATCCGAATGTGCCCGCGTGGATGTCGAGTACAAGCGCCACCATCCTGCAGCCGCGGCGACCGTACGAGGACGACGAACCCGTCGCAAGCGGAGGCGCAATTGCGTAAACCTACCAAATCATGAAATGTGTATGAAAAGGCAGAGGCGGAGTGGGGGGAGGATTTGTAATTACGAGGCTACGCGGCAAGATTACATAATGAAGGAGAAATCCGGAGCAACAGTACCACATCCAATATTATAAATTTGTAATGCGATCATAGGAAATTGCCCACATTCATGGTATGTTTGGTTCCTTTCTTTTCCTGTTTAATACATCGGTGTTGGTTTTCCATCAAAGATCGAATCATCCAGCAGCGAATGTATCACGTTTGCTTTCTTCCCAAGAAAACGTCGTGATTGTACGCCCACTTCAATTCCGCCTACGGCCATGCGCCTTAATTCCTCCTACTCTCTCCTTTTCCAGTCCTCTCCGCAGCTTCTGGATGCTCCATGTCACTGCCAAGACTGGCGCCAAGAGCCCCACTATTGCTGATATTTATGCTTTCAATCGACTGCTTTCGGGAGGGCAAAAGGCCAGCACCGCCGTGCGGGGGCATCGAAGAGGATCGACCGTGGCCGAAAGCGGCAAGATCGGTGGGCAATGAGGAGGAAGACCGGTAGTGCTGTGGCATTGTTCGAGTCCCCGACAAACTGCCACCGAGGCCTCCGGCACCAGGAGTCGCCGCGATATTCCCAGCCGAAAGTCGGGCGGGGGGAAGGATGGCCAAATTCACACCCGTAAGTGAATTAGTGCGTGAGCGGGAACTGTGCCTGAGGGCGGAGGATTTGACTCCCAAAGATGTAGAGTCGTCCAGTTCCGTGATCTGCGTCTCGATGGTTGTCGGGTCGTGGTGGACAGAAGACCGCCTCGAGGAGCGAGGGGGCCCCGCAGGAGCCATGAAACGACGGACGGCCATCACACTGGCGAAGAGGATACAGGCACCGCCGAGGAAACCGAGGAGAATCACGACGTGCGAAGGCATCCTCTTCGGCGCCGACTTTGTGTTGTTCTTTCCGATCGCTGCCACCCCGCCCGTGGTAAAGGCGGCGGCTTTCACGCTGCTCAACAAAGTTACGTTGACCGTACAGAGTTGAGGTCTGTCGTCCTCACCATGCTTGGGCTGCAACAGCTCATTGAGCTTGCCCACCACTGAATAGATGGAGGAGGAGTTCTTCAGGTGTAATGTGAAGGCAGTAGGCCAGACCAGGGCACTGTCGTTGCACAGGCTGGCCGCTGGGAGATAACGACGTGGCATCTGGACGGGCACGGCCAGAGTGGAAGGGGCCTCTACCGCCAGCAAAAGGCGATTGGTCTCCAATGCTGTGTCGCGCGATTTGTTCTCACGGCTATCCCTTCTCTCCCCGCCTCGGTTTGGCTCGTGCTTGTCCACGATTGTTGGCATATGCTCGGCGGGCATGATCGTGTCATCATCCGCGGCGGGCTCCGGCTCCTCTTCTTCCACGAGGTCTTCTTGGATCAAAGCCTTGATGCTGGTTTCCACCCACGCAGGATCACGATCAGTCTCTCCCACAGTGGCCTGAACGAGGAGGTAGGCATCCCTAAATTCCACGTTCTTGTCCCCCGGCTTTTCGGTAGCACTGGTGCCGGGGAACGTCCACGAGGCCCGGTGGCTCCTCTTATCCCGCATGTCCCCCCCTAGGGCGGCCTCATCTTCCCTTTGTCCGTTGCCCAAAGGTTGGAAGCCGTCGTACTCGACATGAGTGCCTTCGTGGTCGTGCTCCTCCCGCGCCTGGTAGCGGACACGGAAAGTGCCTTTTAAAGGAGGGAAAACGTCCCGCCATTCCCCGAAAGCTCCCCATTCGGCCAAATAAGGATTCACAGCTTCCTCCTCGTCTGGTATGAAGTCGAGAACTTGAAAATGCTGGGGCGGAGAGAGCCGCAGGGAGGCGCCTCGGGCAGCAATTTTCGTATGGACAAAGAGCTCTCTTACGCGGCCTTGGGCAGCAAAGTCGTCAATGTCATGTGCGGCTCCCAACCGACCTGGGTCGACCCCCCCATCGGAGATGGAAGGAAACGTAAGACAAGCAGAACGGTCGGCTGAACAAAAGGCCTTGCCATGACACGGATACAGCGAGATCGT